ATTTTGCCAAAGCCTTGCCTACATTTTACCGATATCTGCAGAATAAATCAAGAAAACTACACAAATTGACTCCATTTAGGAATTCCTAACGGTTTGCCCGAACGCACGGCAAAGTTTGGAGGCGTGGCCTGTAGCATTGGCAACAACCAATCACAAGACTGGTTACGAACCAGTTGAGCAAGGCTAACCGAGTCATTGTAATCTCCATGAATGCAATGAAGTAGGGGATGAGAAACATTACATTTTATATTGTAATAATTGTCAAATCAAAGAACAAAGATCTAGATTCCTTGCAGCTTTATACATCTATGCCCCAAAGCTGGAAGATTTTAGCATGGATGAATTATTTCCTATTATTGTTTCAAGTAATGATTTTTTCATTCTTAGCATTTTTGCAAAATTTATTTTCTATATTCTTGATATGTATTAATACTGAAAGTTTTTGTTGTTCTGAATGTTTTGTTTTGTTATTGTTATTTTTGGACTTTACTCAAGTTTTCATTGGTACGTTCCAAATAAAAAATTCTATCTATCTATCTATCTACCAGCCGATAACCCCCCCCCCCCCCGCTCATAGAGACTGCGTATTACAGTTGATTATAGTTCCTGGGCTCCCTGTGTTGCAACGTTACGAAATCACTGATAGGTTCAGGTGAAAAATAAATTTAAATAATGTCCAATCAGAAACGTAGTTACTAAATCGAATTTTGACAAGTTCGTTGACCCCCAACCACCAAGAACATTCGGACGTCTTCGTGAATTTTCTAGAAAAACCGGAAGAGGGTATATTAGCCTGCGATCATGGCTCACCGCAGCTGATCATAACAAATCTCACAGAAAACACTTTTTCACCAAATTGTTTTCAGCGCACTGGGAAGGACATTCTAAATGGTTGTATTCAATTGATTTCAAGGTGGTAGTCTTGTAACACCTTCGGCTTGCAACCATTTGATAGTGCGGGCGCCCTCAGGCGGCGAGGTTTACTGCCTTCATTGTTTTCGCGGCAGCACAGCAATGTAATTACGTTTCCTTCAGCCCAGTCGCATTCATTCATATCATGAAGGGATAGGTATAATAAAAAAAAATATATATATATATATTTATAATAATATATTTATATTTATTTTATTTGTAATCTTCCCGATTTGCAAAAACAAACGTTCGCCGCTCCAAGTGCTCGTAATATTTCTATGTTGTATAAATACATTTATGGTAATAGTTCAAATACAGCAAAATTACAAGTAATACTATCGTATTTTCATTTATGAACAAAATACAACAACCAAGCTATATTTCGAGCACCTGTAATTTCCACTACTAGTGTTCGTACAGCGTCGTATAAATGGCAAGTCGGCCGTTGCAACGTTACGAAATCACTGATAGGTTCAGGTGAAAAATAAATTAAAAAAATGTCCAATCAGAAACGTTGTTACCAAATCGAATTTTGACAAGTTTGTTGACCCCCAACCACCGAGAACATTCGGACGTCTTCGTGAATTTTCTAGAAAAACAGGAAAAGGGTATATTAGCCAGCGATCATGGCTCACCGCAGCGATTACACGGCGGATGTAGCTAATACTTTCAACGAAGGAAGATTTCGTGTTCACAATCCTACACCACAAAACCCATTACCCGAAGGCTGGGAAATGTTGCACGATACGAAAAGCGGCTGGCCATTTTTCATTGACCATAATACGAAACGAACTACATGGCAAGACCCGCGTCGGTCAAGACCATCGAGTCGACCTGCAAATGCTACGGTATGTCAAACATTTCTTCTCCCATTCTTTAAATAGAATCTGAATAGTTGTCGATTTTAAATTTGCTGCACATAGGCTTAGTTACTGGATTGCAATATTGCATATGTATTAATTAAATGTGTTTACGTCCATTTTATTATTGTACCAAGGTCAACCAAGAACGTACTGTTTATTCATAGTAATTAAACGCCATAATATTATTTTTTTGAGAACGGAATTCGTTGTGGATTCTATAATAAGTAAATACTTCCGATGACGTTTGCTGTAAACGGCGATGACTATACCGTATACAGCTAATAAATAAATTACAATGTACTAGTATTTTCCTGATGATATTACTTAGGGTTAGGACTGACTGTCTCGTCTTATTTAGAAGTCAGTTATTTCACCTAATACATGTCAGATCTATTTCATGAATTCGGTTATTAAATGTTATGTACCTTTTAGATGAGAAAATACATCCAAGGTTTCAGAATAAGGCATATTCTCTCTTGTTTGCTTTCACAAAATATATATTACGTATGTAACATATGGGGGAAATTGTTCAGATAATATTTTTAATGGTTCAGGGAAAAAAATGACTCTTATTGGGACTTTATTTTTAAGAACATTCATGTATGGCAAAAAACAAATATATATATATAAATTTCTGTTTCTGGTCCAAAGTTTAAAAAAAAACAATGCAGCGATGTAATTAAAAAAAAAAAAATTTAATGAAACATCAAGAAAGTCTATCTGTGCATGCACCCCCATTTTTTTCTTGATTTCCAACTAAAAAAATCCCAAAACTTCCAATCTTGGGTTTTGGAACTGACATGCTTGCCATCCAGAATCAGTTGAAATTTAATTTTAGCCATGATCAGCATCATGAAACTTGTGATCTCTGACAATTTTATGTAAATAAATTCCATAGATTTTGCGTGGATGGTAACATGATATTCAGAACTTGGTATAGATTTTTGTTTTATAAATACTTTTGTGGAATGCTTTTGTTTCGTTCATTTATTTTGATGGCGTGTCATGTGTTTTTAATGAGGCGGCGTTCGAAAATTGCAGTATAGTGGCAAGGAAAATTTATATTGTGAACATAACTATAGGCACATTTTATCTGGTGGATAAACATACTGTTCAAACTTGAGTTACTCTCCTGGGTTATCATATGATATCGTGTTGTATTATATCATTTGTATTTAGATTTATATGTTATTTAATACTTAACCCTTCTCTTTTCACAAAATAAAACCAGATAATTTCTTTAAATTTTTTTTTCAAAAATTTGGATCAAGACGAGTGGCCAATGAGAAATCATGTTCATCTGTTCCATAATTAACAAAAAAAATTGCACTAAAACTTGAATTGGAAAAAATTTAGTTTTTAAAAGGGTTGAGAAATTCAGTGCTGTTCTACTTTCTCGATATGTGCATGATAGGACATATCTGTCTGTCGCCTGCCAAAACAAATCGCAGTTATCACCTCTATAAAAACAAAGAAAAACTGTCAAGTGTAATAAGGAAGCGTTCTTTGTTTGGCCGCCATTTTGAGTTTAGAATAAAGTCATTAGTGACATCTTAAATTAGCGAAATAGTTCTCTCGCTAAATTCGCTAAAAAGACATGCTCTCGAAAAAAGACATGTTTTTACAGTATTTCCCACATGTTGTTTAGGTCATATGAACCCTATTGAACACGTCACTATGCAGTAACTACAGCGCCTTAATATGAATAATACAAACACAATGTATGTGGTCGTTACTATGAGATGTGAACACTATAAAACTTGTTGTTATCCAAAACTTACTTTAAACTATTTGCTTTATTTATTTCAGGGGGTTCCTTCTGCTCCAGTGTCTTCTTCCTATTACACTTATCTTGACAATCCACAGACGAGGCAATCACATGGCGCAAGTGACAGAATTGAACAAATACATAACCCGGACAATACAAGTCAGCGTCAACCAACTGTAAGAAACATACCCATAGAAATTGTTGAGCGTAATCCATCAGCGCAAACTAACAAGAATCATCAGTCACCAGCTGCACAGGTTACACATAGATCTGAGAGGATTATACCAATTCAAGTCCAGGAACCTGCAGCAAGGCAGTCTTATGATTCACGACCTGATGAATTCCGCGCTGAACAGCGGCAGCAGCTGCAGCAGCAGCAGGAGTACCTAAAACAGCAACAACAGCAGCAGCACCAGGAAAAACTCTTGCAGCAACAACATATGAGACAGCAGCAAGAGGAACAACTCCTGCGGCAGCAACAGCAGCAGGAACACCTGCGACAGCAGCAGTATCAGCAGCAGCAACAGGAACACCTGCGGCAGCAGCAATATCAGCAGCAACAGGAACACCTGCGGCAGCAGCAATATCAGCAGCAGCAGCAACAGGAACACCTGCGGCAACAGCAATATCAGCAGCAGCAACAGGAACATCTACGACAGCAGCAACATCAACAATATCAGCAGCAGCAACAAGAACAGGGTAAGGCAGCACGTTTTGAGGACAATCATGAAGAATCAACGCCTACCTCCAAACAACCTACATTGCCACAGCTAGTGGTGATACAAAAAGTGTTGGATGATACAAGTACTCTTTTAGATAGAGTTGAGAATTTCAGTGGAAAGGAAAAAAATAAAGAATACCTATACTTAGAAGAATTTCTTACGCGAAACTTACTAAAACTTGATAACATTGAGTCAAACGGTAATGAAGAGATTAGAGTATGCAGACGGAATGGAGTTAGGAATGTTCAACAGTGTCTAGATATACTGGAAAGTAAATTGAAAAAATAAAACAGTAATGCATATTTAAATGTACAACTATGTAAAGTGTAAATTATGTGTCTTTATAAGTAGAATTTTAAAAAACTATGTTTGCTATCACACACCATAGTAATTTTACATGCGGATGAGTGACAGAATATAAATTTAAGAGAATTTCCAGTTCACTGTAGTAAACTTTAGCTGAATTTTTTTTACTGAAAACATCAGTTACAGTGCATTGACATTGTTGAGATTTGTCATGAGTTACATGCAAAATAAAGTATGGAAAATGGCTGTGAATAATTACAAAAAACATACAGCAAATATGACTTATTCATGTTACTAATTGTCATTAAAGTTCTAAAACTTAAAATGATGACAAAAGACATCATAGTAAATTAAAACTGTAAAGGCATTAATTCAGTGAAAATGAGTTGTAATTTTGCATGTTCATGTTCACTTATCAGCGAAATAAAAAATTGTAATTACAGTAAAGTTGTAATGTCTTCAAAAAGTGTCAGGATGTGTGACCTTTGTTGGTCATGTACAAGTGCCAGGATGTGTGACCTTTGTGGCTCATATACAAGTGCCAGGATGTGTGACCTTTATGGGTAAGTGCAAATGCCAGGATGGATGACATATATGGGTCATCATGCAAAGTAACGAAGTCCACAAACAAACTCAACTCACCCAGGGTACAATGGTTTTAACCTTCCCATTGAGTCTGCTGACACACTGGGTAAATTGGCCTTGGCCTTGACCTTCCCATTGAGTCTGTGCCACTCGCCCATGGTAAACTGTCTTTGACCTTTCCATTTAGTTTGTGGTACAGTCACCCTGGGTAAATTGGCTTTGACTTATCAAGTGGCTTTGTACCTTGTCATTGTGTCTGTGGCACATTTCTTTTGGCCACCCCATTGAATCTGTGGCACACTCACTCAGCTTAGACCTTTTCATGGGGTTTGTTACATGTCCACCCAGGGTAAATTGATATTGGCCTTCCCGTTGGTCTGTGGCAGACTCAACCAGGTTGAACTGGCTTTGACCTTCCCATTCGTTATGTGAAACTTTACCCAGGGGTAAATTGTCACACTCACATTGGTCTTCCAATTGAGTCTGTGGCATACCTTGCCCTAGGTATGTTGGTTTTGGCCTTCCCATTGAGTTGGTGTCACTCAGATTACGGTGGCTCCAGCCTCCCAATTAAGTCTAGGGTACACTCGCCCAGGTTACAGAGGCATTGGTCGCCCTATTGTGTCTGGGCACACTCACATCGGGTATATTAGCTTTGGCCTTCCAATTTAGTTTGTGGTACAATCACTAGGGAACAGGGCTAGGGCTTTGGCCTTTCATTGAGTCTGTATCACAGTCTGGGTAAATTGGTTCTGACCTTTATATTGATTTATATATTAAACTGGCTTTAGCCTTCTTGAGTCTGTAGCACCCTCAACTTAGCGAACAATGGCATTGGTCTCCCGATTGAGTCTGGGCACACTCACATAGAGGATATTGCCTCCGACCGTCACAGGTTACATTGGCTTTGGCCTTCCCATTGAATCTGGCACATTTACCTGTGTGCATTGACTTTGTATTTTTTGTTGAGTCTGTGACATGCTCACCCAGGGTAAATTGGGTGTGACGCTCCCTTTGGGCCTTTGACACGTCCAACCAGGGTAAATTGGCATTGGCCTGCCTATTGAGTATGTGGAAAACTCACTAAGGGTAAATTGGATGGATTTGCACTCACCTTGGGTACATTGGCTTTGGCCTCATTCAGTCTCTGGCACATTCGCCCATTGTACAGTGTTGCTGGTCCTTCAATTGAGTCTGTGGCTTTGTATTTTCCAATTAAGTCTTTAACACGCACCCATGGTACAGTGGCTGTGTACCTTCCTTGACCCTGGCACACTCACTTAGGGTACATTTGCTGTGGCCTTTTGTTGAGTCTGTGACACATTCACTCAGCATGGATTTGCTTAGACCTTCTCATTGGGTCTGTGACACGTCCATCCAGGGTAAATTGGCTTTTACCTTCCCATCAAGTTTTTGACACACTCACACAGGGTAAATTGGCTTTGACCTTCCCATTGGATCTGTGACACATCCACCCAAGGTAAATTGGCATTCACCTTCTCATTAAGTTTTTGATACACTCACACAGGGTAAATTGGCTTTGACCTTCCGAGTGAGTTTTGGCAAACTCACCTAGGGTAAATTTGCATGGGTTTCCCAATTGAGTCTGTAACACAGCAACCCTGGGTGCATTGGTTTTGTCCTTCCAATTGAGTCTTTGCCAATGTCACTGAAGGTAGTGGCTTCAGCCTCCAGATTGAGTCTAGGTTACACACACCTAGAGTACATTGGCTTTGTTCTTCCTATTTAGTTTGCCATACACTCACTAGAGGTACACTGGTTTAATTGGGCCGCCTTTTGAGTCTCTGGCACACACACATTGGGTTTGTGCTTTCCATTGAGTCTGGGCACACTAGGTACATTTGCTTTGGCCTCCCCCTGAATCTATGGCACACCCAACCGCGTATATTGGCTTTGGACTTTTTTTTGAGTCTGTGCCAGACTCACCCTGGGTAAATTGGTTCTGACCTTCCTAATGAATCCGTGGCACATTCACTCACCACCTCATCCAGCCTGTCTCTGACACACTCACCAATTGAACAGTGGTGTTGGTCCCCCAATTGAGCCTGTCGCACACTCACCCAGGATACAGTGGCATTGTCATTTCCATTGAATCTGTGGCAAATTGAGTTTTGGCAAACTCGCCCAGGGTACATTGGCATTGGTCTCCCAATTGAGTCTGTAACACACCACCCTTTGGTGAATTGGTTGTGTCCTTCACATGGAGTCTGTGCCAATGTCACTCAATTTACAGTAGCTTCCGCCTCCAGATTGAGTCTAGATTACACATACCTAGGGTACATTGGTCCCCCAATTGAAACTTAGCACAGATTAGGGTAGATTGGCTTCTGCTTTCCCATTTAGTTTGTCGTACACTCACTTGGGGTACACTATTTTGGGCCGTCCCTTGAGTCTCTGGCACACACACGCACACTTTAAGCTTTCCATTGAGTCTCGGCACACTAGATACATTTTCTTTGGCCTCCCCACTGAATCTATGGCACACTCATCTGCTTATATTGACTTTGGACTTTTTGTCGAATCTGTGACATATTCACTCAGGGTAAATTGGGTGTGACCTTCCCAGTGTCTGTGACACCTCCACCCAGGGTAAATTGGCATTGGCCTCCCTATATATACTTAGGGTATATTAATGTTTTTGTCTTCCCATTGAGCCAAAGCCAATGTCACTCAGGGTACAGTGGCTTTGGCCTTTCGCTTAACTCTCTGCGGCACACTCACTCGTGCATATTGGCTTTGGCCTTTTTGTTGAGTCTGTGAAATGCTCACGCAGGGTAAATTTGGTGTGACCTTTGGGTCTGTGACACGTTCACCCAGGGAAAATTGGCATATTTGAGAAAGATTTCATGTTGTATGGCAGCATGGAAGTGCGCGGCTCAAGAAATATATTTATGACTTTAAAGTTCAAGTGGCAATTTGGTAAGAGGGCTCCAGCCGAGAGTATCAGGGCGCTGCAACCCTGTTCCCCAGTTTAGAAAAAACTCTGATGCATGATTTCATTATATGTCAACAAAATACAGATATCTGGTTTCCTCAATGTTTAAATATTAACTATATTCTGTATCACTGTTGAAATAGGATTTCATCATTTTGACTAAAATATAGAGCAGATATAGAGACACTGATAAAGAATATCTTTGGCAAAAACTGAGGAAATCTAATCCCTTGGAAAATTAGCATTAAATGACAATACATACAAATACAGTGTTTCGTTAAACTCTTATAAACTTAGCTCTTCAAGCTTGGGCTACATAAGGGTGGTACTAAATATTTACTGACAAATTATTTTATTCTTAGCGACTGAGACTCATGTGGAGCAAGAAATAATGTTCACTAGTAAAATAAAATTAAATAAAAAGCATGGATTTGTAAGTCTGTACAGATCTTGCAGTTAGAAAACTTGAGTTGTCTCCGAGTTGTATGTTATCATTCTTGAGACAAACAAACAGACATAAAACATAAGCCCCCCCCATTAATTGTGAATTATCTTCAATTCATTATCCTTTCAGCGAGAGATTAGCTGACTTCTCCCAATCTTTCATTTTCGAGTAAATCCGCTGATATTTCCTGAGGTACACTTTAGCTCGCATTCCATCAAGCCATTCCCACATCAGACATCCATTCTCATATCGGTTCCTGCCACAGTGCTGGTCCCCACAATTTTCATCCAGTATCTTTTTCAGCCCTTTGTATAACTTAATGTCTTTTTCGTATGGCTGATCATAGGCATACTCAAGTAATGCATCTTCCACCTTCTTCCTATCATGCTTTGATTTAAACGAGCTGCAGAAAATATCCTGTCTTTGGACAAGGTGCTGCTCTATGTGTTCCAGATCTTTCAAGATTGTCTGCACTTCCTTTTCTTCTTCTATTTGTAGTTTTTGTTCATATCCAAGACGATGTTTTAAATACAAGAGCTGTGCATCTTTTTTTTTCGATTGTGGGTTTGTATGGACTTCATTGTTTTTTATATTTTTGTACCTCTGACCAATCCAAACTGCAATAAAATATAACACATGATATAACACAAAATAGAATCAGGGTTTTTTTCTATAAAAAAACTGCAAGAGGGAGCACTGC